CCCCAAAACCCCAAAACCCCAAAACCCCAAAACCCCGAAGACTGGATGATAAATTGAAACAATTGAAGTTTAAATATATTTAAACCAATATGGCCTTTATGAATGATGGACCAGCTGATCTTCATAAGCTGTTCTTCTTTATCCTGTTTCATTTTTGAGTAATCATACTCACAGTATTCTTATGGAGATGAATCTGGCTCAAAAGAATTGGTAAGTTTAAAGTTAGTATCAATTCAAAAATCAAGCTAAAATTTACACTCAGGTGGTTTTTACCTCACAAATGGATACCAAGATATGTCTAACGACTTTAGGTATTGAACTTCCTTCTGAACGGAGAGAAATCATAGAAAACTCATTTAATGATGACTCTTGACATACTACGAAGAGCTTTAGAGTATTTTGGAAGGTCTTCAAAGAGAAGTATATGAGTTTGAATGAAAATTACTGGGTCAAAAATTGAGGGGTAGATGCTTTTCTTTACCTCCTTCTTCAGAGAAAAGTTGCATCTCTACTTTTCTGGATAGGATCAATTTCCTTTATACTCTCTCTGTTCTTTAACCTTGCATCAGATGAGACTTTGGATATCCAGGACCACAAATGGAGGAATGATTGGTCTATTAAAGTACTTTATGGAAACAAAGATTTTATCAAAGGAGTCTGGTCGTGGGTTCAGGTTATCCTCTGCTGTCTTATCACTCTTTGGACACTCAACACTGTCTATGAATTGAAAACCCAAGCTAGAAGAGTCTACAAGAGATATGTAAAGCATGACTATGAATGGCTAAAGTCAAGAACTATTCACGTTAAAGGAATTCTTAAAAACGACATCACTGGAGCAATGTTGGAAAATATGCTCAACGATCATCTACAAGACACTGAGAGTAAAATTTTAGCTATCTGAGTAGTCCCAGATTATCAAAAACTTACTCGACTTGAGCAAAAGAGGAAGGAACTTGAAGATCTCAGTCAACTGCTTGGTGTCAAAGAACCTACTTTTATGCGGCTCTGCGTTAGGAAGAAATATAGAACTGAGGAATACTATAAATATGAGCTTGAAGAGATTGAAGATCAAATTAGAGATGAGCTTAAAAAGCCTATAAAATCTTCTGGTCACGCCTACATTGTCTTCGATTCATACTATAGTATGGCAAGGTGCCTCCAGAAATATAGAGAAACTCCTTGTCAGACCTGTAAGATCATGTGGTCAAGCTGTTTTGATACAATAACTATGAGAGATCGCTTCGATAATGATCCAAGAGATGCCTTCATTGAGTTCAATGACGATGAAGAAAGCCCTTTCAGTGAGTACCATAAAAGAGGCCAAACACTTTTGATGAGTAGCGCTAAAGATCCTGTTGATATTATCTGGAGTAATATGGGGAGTTCAAGAGGGCTGACATTCTTCAGAAGATATTTATGGAACATAATAGGTTTCTTACTTATCATGTTTGTTTCAACTCCTGTTGTAGTATTTAAGACATTTCAGACTCTTAGTGATAGACATTTAGATCTCCAGTTTATGCAAAAGATACCCTATATCGATTTGGTCTCCTCCATTTGGCCTCCTCTAATTATCCTCTGTATTAACATGATGCTTATCCTACTGATTGATCACTCTGCTGTATCTGAGAAGCGTTCTGCTCATTCTACATTTCAATCTTCAATATTTAACAAAGCTTTGGTTTACCTGCATCTAAATATGGTTTTTGTCCCTTTTCTCTCTTTGCAAGGGCAGCCGATCTTCAGGATTCTGGAGTACCACCAAGTAAAGACAGAATACATTAGAGAGTTTACAATGATCAACAGTTCAAGCTTTTTCGTTAATCTTATTATCCAGTATGGAGTCTTTACAGCATTATTCTATTTTCTGAGATGAGGAGAACTCATGATGAACTACATCTCTCCCTGGCTGGTTGATTACAGGAGAAAATATATGAATGACTCTCAGCAATGGAGAAGAAAGCCTGACGATATTTTCCAATATGGCTACTTCTACAGTCAGATGATGACAATCTTTACTATTTCTATATTGTACTCTTCAACAGCACCAATGGTAATATTCAGTGGATGTATCTTCTTTTTCCTCAGGAATATTACTGATTCATACACATTGTTGACAGTCCATAGGAAAGAGATCGAGTCTAAGCTATCTATCTTCCACAAGATCTTACTGTGAATCCTGATGAGCCTTCTAGCTTATCAAATGTTCATATTCGGATATTTTTACCTGAATGACGCAGTCTACCAAACTTGGTTTATAGGACTTATCCTTGTGATGACTATACTGGTTATTGCCATCAATATTGAGCAGATGTTTGACCCAATGACCCTGGTTAAATTAGACATTGAAGAAGAGGAATGAGATAAGTTCCATAGCAAGGTCACCAAGGAAGACTTTAACTCTGAAGATTTTGAAAAATGGAAAGATTCTTACACCCACCCACTTCTTAGCAACTCTGCTGGAAGTTCAGCAAGTGTTTTTAGTACTGAAATCAAGAAAATAATTGAGGATGAGAATAAAACCTACCAATATGAGGACCAGTCTAATGACCTCCAGCAATCAAACAAGCCTGTATCATCCAGAGATTTTGAACGCAATATAACAAAAGAAGAAAGCAAGGAAGGGCCAAGAAATTCAAATCTTCTTAATTTTTAACCGCTTCGAAATTTCAATCCCCCCAATCTCCAGAGGGGTTTTGGGGTTTTGGGGTTTTGGGGTTTTGGGGTTTTGGGG